GTCTTAAATAACCAACCCCTTCTCCAGAGACTGTGCCTTGCATTTTTGATTCCCTGATCAGCAGAAATAATCTCAGTGTCTACTCCATCAAGGACCTACAAAATCTTAAGACATTATGATGAGATCACTTTTCATCCTTAAATTCCAGATAATACAGATTCAAGTTGCTCAATCTCTCACTACATTCCATTCATCTCAGGAACTTTGTTTTTGTATTCAGATAGTATAGCGAAAATTCAAGAATAAGTTATCTTAAATGTGGAGACCTAAACGGCACACAATTATTCTCAAAGGCCTGTACAACTACACCAGACTTACTGTGCTCCAATCTTCTTGCAATGAAATTCAAATTCAATGAAATAATCTAGTTACATTGCTAGGTAATAATGAAATTAAGAGGAATGTAGTACATTTAAAATAATTAGACTCATCATGGCTGTTAACATAATAATTTATAGATCTACTGGACAGAAATCCTATATAGTGTATCAATACATACTCGTTTGTGTAGTCGCTCTGCCTCATCCTGGTAAGCAGTAAGCTGCTGTTTCCACTGTTTTACATTGGCTGTAGATTCCAGTAGTGCTGCAGTAAGTTTAGCATTGTTGGTTTTTAAGGTTGCCAACTCGGACTCCCAATGCTTTCCGATTGTAGTACTAAATAAAAGCACAACTTATCATTAAGCATTATGTAGATGGTCATAAAAAATGTCAATTTACATCAAAGGCAGAGTCAAAGTCATACAGCACGGAAACAGATCGTTCGGTCCAACCAGTCCAACCTGCTCCTGGCCCATATCTCTCCCATCTTAGGGAGGAGACAACTACCATCAACTCTATCTGTAGCTCTATTTTATAAACTTGTATCGGGTCATCTCTCAACCTCCTAAGCTCCAGTGAGAACAGTCCCAAGCCTATCCATTATAATTCAAGCCTTCCATACCCAGCAACATCCTGTTAAATTTCTTCTGAAACTTCTCCAGCTTGATAACATCCTTCCTATAATTGGGTGACCAGAATGGACACCGTATTCCTGAAGAGGCCTCACCGATGTCCTGTACAACCTCAACATAACATCCCAACTCCGATACTCAAGAGGACTGAGAATGAAGCCAAACATGCCAAATGCCTTTTTAAACCACCCTGTCTATATGTGATGCAAACTTTCAAAGAATTATGGACCTGTACCCCTAGGTCCCTCTGTTCTACGACACTGCCTAAGGCTCTACCATTAATTTTGTAAGCCCTACCCTTGTTTGTTGAACCAAAATGAATACCTCACATTTATCCAGATTGAACTCCATCTGCCATTTTTCAGCCCATTGACCTATTTGATCAAGATCCCTTGGTAATTTTAGAAAACCTTCTTCACTGTCTGCAACGCAACCAACTTTGGTGTCATTGCATGTTGCAATGTGTAAAAAAGATTCAGCAAAAACACAGCAAATCTAGTGTTAGAACATGTTCAGTTTTCTCCCCTCCAATTGCCCATCAACCCCCAACCTTTCCTGAAGCAACTATCCAATGCCAACTAACCAACATGTCTTTCTGGTTGCAATGCTATGAAATGTAAATTTTTTCTTCTGTTCTTCCCATCAAAGCCTCCTACCATGAAAACTTTCAACTGACTTTGCAGCCTTTGAAATGTAGTTCTGCCTGCACCTTCATATACCTTTTAAACATACTTGAATATGTTGGCTTCTGGCTGCAGTCATTATATACAAACTGTTCTACCATTGTACATTCCTTCCCTCCACCTGACCCATCACTGGTAGCTGTGCTTCAGCCGTTAACCTAGTTTTCTGGAAATGCCTTCCTATGCCGTTCACACCTCTGAGGATAAAGTAGTGCTGGGTTTTAAGGATTAACTTTGCATCATTTTGCCTTTACACATTAGGAATCAGCTGCATTGAAGGACCATGTGAAAATAACCTGTTACAGATGTTCTGAAATGAAAAGCATTTAAGAATCTTATGCATCTTCCTATACGATTAATCAGCTTCACAGCTTATAAAAGGACATGCATAAACTGTGTGTCAGAATAGCGATTAGCTTGCAAATACACCGTGGTCATTAGCATTTCAATTAGGTCAGGTCAGAAAAAGTGACTCCTGCCATCTGTGCCCTGAATTCAATGTTGGTTTAAACCAAAATGATGCAAAACTAAAGTAGGTCAGTTTAAAAAAGTCTACATGATTACTGATTAATATGAGTGCAGATTATATGACGGGAGCTGTATAAATAATAAGCTCAAACAGTTATTTCCAAGTACGAAACTTCCTTAATAGATGTAAATATATTTAATTGTTTTATTATCTTCAACTGCAGGAAGTCAACCACACCCTCTGTGACCCTCTTATGCTTTGATCTCAAGTGATTGTAATGGATATTGTTACAGCCACTCAGCACTTGGAATAGTTAATGTAGGGGACAAAAGAATGGAGGGGAGTTCATATTTTTGGAACCACACAAGCATGCAGTTAAATTCTTACTCTTTCAGAATGTAAGAAGTGGCACTGGGACTGCAGGGAGAGGTCTCAAACTTAGCACTCCAAATGTCCACGATGAAGGAAGATCTATTATATTTCTGAACTTTGATGTGCAAATAGTCAGCCGACACTGGGATGCCTTTGTCATTGTAAACTAAAATATCTCCTTAAACAATGTTCATTTCAAACATGCCGTGATCCCATTCACAACTGGGTATTATGAAAAAAAAAGTGTCAAGAAGCAAAATATAGTCTAAAAATTAGAAGAAGTGAATGACGGTGAAACATGGATGCCAAAATTCTAATGTTGACAGAAAATAAAATTAAAAGTCTACATCGGAGGAAAAATGCACTTTGACAGCATCAGAATAATGAGAACATAGATTGATTAAAAGGACTGCAAACAGGAAATCAAACTGGTACTGGGTAACAGCCTACATTGAAGGCTGTGGTCCAGAGTTCACACAACACACACGATGCATTGGCACACAGTCCATTACTGCTTTGTGAAGCAAAATCATTCCAATAAGTTCCATGCAGGTGCTGTAAACTAGGAAAGTTCGAAGCCCCACATAAGGAATTTTAAGATTACGAAGCAGCATATCCAAATGGTAGTTTTTGTGCTTTCCTTCTCCCTTTCTTTATATTTACTGACATTTATTTGTACAAAAACTTTTGAACGGAAGCAAAGTAGTTGCAAGAGCGCAAGGAAATATGGGCTCGTCCTCCTTGGTGTTCAAAGTCTTCAAGGACACTGATACAGCAAATGAGGACAAATAATTTCCAATAGCAAATGTTCAATAACTAGGGGGCATTTAAGGTAATAAGCAAAAGTAGCAAAAGCAGCAGGAGGGATTTTTTTTCAAAGACAACCTATCATGACTTGGAATGCTGCCCTTGAAAAGGCATGTGGAATCAGCAACAAATACAGTTTACAATAGGGAACTGTACAAGTAATGAAAAGAAGGGTGCCTAGCTCAGGGAAGAGAGCTGTGTAGTGGGCCTAATTAGATAGTCTTCAGAACAACTAAGTGCCAAAAAGCCTCCTGTGTTATACCATTACGCTTCTAAAATATTTCCAGGCATGTGTTTGTTTGGTGTTGTAGTAGCAACTGGTTCTTGATTGACCTGCTTTTCCAGAATGGAACAAGTGAATCATTTGATTAAATCCACATTCTTGGCTGAAGACATATTGGTTATTGAAACCAAACATATTTTCTGTGTGGCATACATAGTATTCACATCCACAGTGCAACATAAATTCAATAGAACATGTTCAGAGAGAGAACATTGAAACTAAGTTCCTCCTGGCTATTCAAAACACATTAGTCTAATAAGATGCTTTATTTTCTCAAATGGTGTGGAGTACCAGTTTTGCTACATTTCACTATACCATCTACTCTAACAAGCTTTTGCAGAAAATTAATCCAAGTTAACCTGGGGCAGTAAGGAACAATTTCAGATGAGCTACTGTATCAGCCATAGAGCTAAATTTTAATACATGATTGTTAAACTTCCAGGATTCAATAATTCAGGAAATTTGTAATACCATTACGTAGTTTGACAAGATTGAAAGCAATAATATATTGAGACAGCTCATATTTCAAAAGGCACGTATTCCTATCCCACAAGTCTAAGCAACAAGGAGATTGATTTTTGGCTCTACCTGGCACTTGGTTCAGCTAGTGCTTGCTTCTCTAACCTAATAAAAAGGAGTTCAAAGATTTTGGTCAATCCAAGACTTAATACTGCTCCCATTTTTAGGAAGCCTCCAAATATCTTTCATACTCCAGAACAAGGCAAATGTAAATTTCAGCATGTGGGCAGCACAGTGGCTCAGTGGTTAACACTGCTGCCTCACAATGCTAGAGTCTTGGGTTCAATTTTACTCTTGGGCAACTGTTTAGTTTGCACATTTTGAGCGTGTTTCCTCCCACAGACCAAAGACATGCAGGTTAGGTGGATTGGCCATGCAGGATTACAGATATAGGGTAGTTGGAGGGGGCTCTGGGTGGGATGCTGGAGGTGTGGACTCGGTGAGTCGAATGGACTGCTTCCACACTATTGGGATTGGGATTCAATGAAAAAGGAAGCTCAGCTATATAACTGTATACTTTAAGTAGCTTCAATTCTTCTGAGCTTTCCTCCTACTCATCCCATGTCTAAATATATTACCCTACCAGTCGTCAAGACTTCTACACCACACTTTAACTATAACACTTCACATTCCTTAATCCCCTTTTCCCTTTAAGCATTAGATTTTGAAAACACAAGCCGAGCAAAATTTTGATTTTTATTGTTTTAAAAAAAAAAACAAACACAATTTGAACCTAGGTTTAAGGCCTTGGATTATGGACCCTGGCTGTGTGTCTTGGAATCCCAACAGAAAATTTAAATTGCAGCAGAAAACAAAATTTTAGTAAGCAACAGGAGATTTTATTCATCAACTACTCCAATACAAGAGCAAAGCAAAACAGCAATCATGGGACTAACATTTTCACATTTCATGTACTTACCTGTGAGTGAAAGGCAGAGAACTCTGGTTAATTTCAGCTCGCGCATCAGAATCTTGGGTGACATCTTGAATAGACCTTTCATCATCTGTCCCATTGATACTCTCAGGTGTCAGAGGTGACTGCAAGTCACCTCCTGCAGATTCCTGTAAAGCAAAAATTTGAAATCATTCTAAAAGGAGTCATTGTTTGGCTATAAACAGAAAACCACTGAACGCAAAGGTTTCAAAATTAGCCCCAGTCAGTAACTGAAATTGTTGCTCCCACGTTGGGTCAATCTTTCACCTTTAGAATGGTCTTTTGATTATATAGCTGCCAGTTATCCTTGACCAGCCCTTCTCTCAGCACCTCACAAAAAATTAAGTTTTGCTCCAAGATTATTGGGATAAGTAGATGAAACATCTGGATTGCAAAGACAAAACAACCATTTTCCCATATGGCACAAGTAGTTTTCACCCTGCCAACAGCTTATTGGATTCATTAGTCCTCATATTTACAGTAATATGCTTAGTAACTTTAGACATTTCAGTTCTGACTTAACACACCTTTCATCCTACTTGTGGCATGGAATTTAATCCCTTCAAGTCAGATCGTACACATTCAAAATTTATTATTTTTGATGTTCAGGCTGATTTAACATCAAGCATTGCACACTTTTGCACAGTTCTTGCACAAGAAAAAACACATAAATCTCTCTAGATGTATCTAGGATGAGAAATCAGCCTTATCCTTTCATTTGTCAAAAGAAAATAATCTATTTCATTTCGCTTTTTCTTTTGTCATTTTGGTGACCACTTATTCAATTTCTTCAGTATAAGATGATACTGAATTAAGCTGCTCAACTATGCCTAATTTTCCAGACTCTTAAGGATTAGTTTTAACCAAAACAAATCTGCATTATGTGCTGCAGGATACCAAGTCCACATTTCTGCACTGTGTTACATATTCATTTGTGAGATATTAAAACTATAGACTATTCCAAATGTTGCACTATTCATATAGTCACCACCACTTTCTGGTGCATTCAATTTCTCAATACAAAGAACAAAATCTCACCTACTTGTATTTTTAATAAACAATTTATACATGCATCATTTGCCTACCAATTAAAGGTTAATGGATTTACACTTTTCCATCCCTTTGCTCCTTCTTTGCCTGGACTTATTTACCCAAATATCAATGTGTCTCATTTCCCCATGTTTTACTATTTCTTTTTCTATTTCACTTCTTTCATTTTCTCACTTATTTGATGCCCCATTCTTCCCAGATTTGCCATTAGCAGCCAATTATAACATGAACCCAGATTAGACAGGACTGCTGTCTTCATCCAGCTCTGCACCTTGTTATCTCAGATTATCCAGCATCTGCAGTTCCTGCTATCTCTTAGACAGGACAATTCTCTTGCCACAACCATCGTTATTGACATTTTCACTCTCCCTTTTGCCATGGGTCTCAACAATCTCAATTTCTGCTGCAGCACTTCACAAAATGGTTTCTGCATTTGGTTTGGCATATTAAGTGCCAAATGTTGGCAAAAATCAAGAATAATATTTCCCTAAAATGAGCTTGCAGATCTGGTTGTTTCATCATCCATTCTTGATGGAACAATATTCATTACGGCGGGATTGAGAGAGTTTTAAGCTTTATGCTACGAGGAATTTGAAGAAATGTGATGTGCATGTTTAAACACCTGTATACGTTAGGTAATTAATGCATAATAGGCCCATGCTAGTTTTCAATAAACACTTCACCATAGCCTACAAACACCACTCTGTGCTCAGAGACTGTGACCATGGATTTCAATGGCTTAAAGTTTTGAGAATAATATTAAAGTACACTACCATTGAATTGTTCAAGCTTTTTCTTTTGAATATTATTTATTCTAACAGCACAAATCAGTTTCCAACTTTTGGATCATTTACTCTATCACAATGGATAGTCATGCCCACCTGTGAAGGCGTACTGGTTAATTCCATTTTTTCCTGCATTTTCTCTTTTGCTATCCGTGCTGCATCTTTAAATTCTTGGAACTTCTCTGCAAACTAAATTGGGAAGAAGTTCTTTTTAAAAGTGTAGCTTGTAAGATCAGAATACTTCAATACTTCAATGTACAACTGATTGTCTTCTTGAACAATATTTCTTACTTTCATTTGTTCCGTTGTCAGTTAGTCCTTCTATTCATATTCTTGTGCTCTTTCCGGGTAATTATTCAAAATCTCTTGAAATTTGGATTGGATCTGTTGCCAACATGCTCTCAAGGCAGTGCATTCCAGATTTTAAGTACTTGCTGTATAATAACTCATGATAACTTTGGTTTATTGCTCTTTATCTTAAAAGAGTGCCCTCTCATTCACTAGTGTAGTGCATTATTATACAATTACTTTGACAACATGCTACATTGTGATGGTTAAAAAGTCAATTAATGTGTCAAATTTTGCAGCAATCAAATTGGCAAGACACAATCTCCTATATCAACCTAGAGGTCAGATTTACTAGCCTCTAAGATTGCAGTTAAGCCAATTTGTCAATATGATGAACTCAGATATAGCAGGCTGAATATTCCCTTAATAGATATGAATTTACTTAGTCAAGCATATTTAGTTGCCCAATCTGTTAAGTAACCCCAATTTAAGTTGTTACAATTTAACCATTTTTAATAAGGATCAGTATTCATGCTTTGTGCAGTGGATCTGTAATAACCTCATTCTGTACCATTTGTATTATGGGGGCATATAACCTGATAATCACCATCTTAGAGTAGGCTCTCTCACTTGCAGCTTACCTCTGAATCCCTACAACTCTTAAGCTGTACTCACTCCCTAGATGGGAAGTTGAGGCAGAAAATCTTAACCTTTGAAAAGGTTCTTGAATGTTAAGAAACTTCAAGTGCTCAAAGTCTATGGACCTAGTGAGGGAAAGTGAGATTAAAATATGTAATAAAGTATTTTTGCTGGCACAGATTTGGTCGAAGTGACCTCTTCTGTACTGTATGATTCTATTATGCTTCCTGCCACTTGTTCATCTCCTGAGCCCTTACTAATTGTGAATGTTCAGGGGACAGACATGGCTAGCAGAAAAGATGGGAGGGTGACCTGTGGTGAATTGTAGAGTCCGGAAGCAGGAGATGTAGTGGGGGGGTGGGTAGGGAGGGGGCGGGCGGTGGTGTTGGGAGATTGAAAGAAATTAGCATTTTGTACACTTTAAAATATTTTAAAATTTATTTTGTTCACAATTATAATAATTCAGAAACAACCACTATTTAAATTTATAGGGTGTAATATTTCTTTCTGACAGTAACGGTCCTGCAGAACCAAACTAAAGCCTTTATGATCAACTGTAATGGGAAGATCTAATTGACTTAACCTTTTCACTTACAGTTGTACTTTTTAAAGGAATGCAAATACAATATAAAACTGAAAGTTATGATGGTGGATCTCAAGTTGTATTACTGGCCATCTAACACTTTAGTCACGCACTAGAAATTAGGCTTAATTTGATAATAAAAAAATTAAATTGAATGAAAGTACAGACGCGTTTGAGTATTCACTTTGCCAAGACCTCTAGCAGTACAATTTAAGAAATTTAACCATAAAAATGACTTACTATTCTATGTGGTTATACTCACTTTAGTTAGATGATGCTCTGAGGAAAAGCCAAGACCATAGACAGTGTTTGCACGACTGTCTGGCCACTGACCAAACTTTTGAGATGTTTTTGTGAATGTCATATTTGGAGTGATTGTGCTATTGATTATTGCCTGAAAGAAAGAAAACACTTCATTGTATTATGAAACCGGATTTTACAAGTAGAAACCTTCAAACAATGTCAATGGTCCCTGCATTCCCAAATGATTTTAGACATGCCATTTAATTCAAATCAATACTTCAAAACAGGCATTGAAAGATGCTTGGGTTAATTATTTCTTCACCATCCCATCTGGAAGATTTTACAACAGGCTGCTCAAATTTTCTGTTGGCTATTTGTTTCCCTACATTAAAATGGGAAAATCCTAAAATCTGTTCACTGAAGAACAATCCTGTTAGTACAAGTATTATGCAATCAACACGATTTAGAAACATTTCCTAAAACAAAGAATGGAGTTTACAAAAAGAAATTCAAAAGTTTTGCACTTCAACCTAAAGGAATATGAAACAATATGAATCTCATGCACTTCAATCTATAATTCAGTTGTCAAATGAAAAATGTTGATTGTGTCAGATGGTATACTGGTAAACTCAGACTAGTGCTCTTGGGATATGGATTCAAATGCCTAAGGCAACTGGCAGAACTGAAATTAATTTAATAAATCTGAAATCGAAAGATAGTCTCAGTCATGGTGACTTTGTAAACGTGATAACCACTGTTACAAAAATCCATCTGTTCATCAATTCCCTTTGGGGTAGGAAATCTACTATTCCTACCTGGACCAGTCTCCACGTGATGTCAGAGCCACGGCAGTGTGATCAACACTCAACTGCCTTCTAATGGCCTAGCAAGTAACTCAATTCAAGGATATTTAAGAAAGAAAATCACAGGGATGTGGACTTCACAGCAATAAATGCTGGCCAGAATGTCCTGCACGCGATGAAGAGCTGCCTTGAACCATTTGGTATAGATACATCTACAATGCTGTTAGGGAGGAAGTTCTTAGATTTTGACCCAATCACACTGGAGGAACAGTATATTCCAAGTCAGGATGGTGTGTTGCTTGATGAACTTGAAAGCAGTGGTGTTTCCATGTATCTGCTGCCCTTGTCCTTCTAGATCGTAGTGATCATGCAATTGAAAGGTGCTGTCGAAGGAACCTTGGTGAACTTCTACAGTGCATCTTCTAGATGGTACACACTACTGCTAATGAGCAGTGGTGAAGGATGTGAATATTTGTAAATGTGTGCCAAAAAGGATTGCTTTGTTCAGGATGGTGTCAAGCTTTTTCAGTGTTGTTTGAGCTGCACCCATCCAGGCAAGTGGAAAGTATCCCATTACGTTCCTAACCTATCTCTTCTAGATGGAGAAGGTTTGGGGAATCAGGTGGAGAATTACTTACTGCAGGATTCAGAGTCTCTTCCTGTTCTTGTAGGCAGCATTTATTAGATTAGTCAAGTACAGTTTCTAGTCAATGATAACCCCCTGGATGTTGAGAGTGGGAGATTCTGCAATGGTAATACCAATGAATATCAAGCAGTGACTCTGAAATTCTCTTAGTTATGGCCATTGTCTGACACTTATGGTGTGCAAATATTATTTGCCACTTGTCAGCCCAAGCCTGTATATTGTCCAGGTCTTGCTGCAAAGTTTCCTAATTAGGCAACGTAAGCTGGCTCAGCCAGTGATACCCCCGCCATAACAAAGAAAACAGATAATAGATGTACTCCATCTCAAATAGTAGTGGTAAATAAAATTAACAATCAACTATTAATATACACTGTATAACTGCATCACAAGCATTACATAACATGACTATTTTATTTGCAGTCATGATCACATTTTTTTAATACTATCTTTACTCTTCTGAATTTTCAATGCACTATGACTTTTCCACATCTTAATTTGTATCCTTTTCAATGTTTCTAGTTAATTAACTGGAACTTTCTTTTCCCCTTAATTTCTCCAGCCAAGTACCAAAGATTTGAAAGAGACAAATCTTTGATGCATTTTTCTATGTCAGGAAGAGAGGTTGTCAATGTAAAAAGAAAATTCTCATTTATGTGGTACGTTTCAAGAAACCCCAATGCATTTTGCAGGCAAACGAAGGACTTTTTAAACTTGAGTCATTATATAGGAAACAAGATCAAATTGTAGAGTTCCTCTGGGTTCTCTCAAATAGCAATGTAATAATGATCAGATATTGTTTGATATTTTGGTTGAGGTATAAATATTGGACAAGAGACGGAAATAATACTTTTGCTCCTCTTTGAAATAATGCCATGGAATTTTGTATTCCAACAGAGCAGATGAGGTCTCTGTTTAATATTTTATCCAAGAGAAGCATCTCTGTCAGCTTGATTTTTGTACTGTGTTATCGTGAGCTCAAATCTTCTGTGGCTCATTTTATAATACTCAGAGCCAGTTGACATTAACTTTACATGGTCTGCAAAGAACACAATGTAGCCCAGAAGGTGACAAATGATACTACCACTCAACATCTAGGCAATTACCATCTACAACAAGTCAGCCTCACCACCTTCATTGGACATTCATCAGCATTACCATCAACAACATCCATGGGGGCAATATTCACTTGAAATGCAAATGGACCAGACAATTAAGTACTGTGGCTAGTAAGTCATATGCGACTCCCAAAGTTTGTGCTACACGCACAAGTTGAAGTATTATGGAATATGGTCCACTTTCCAGGATGAGTGCAGCAAGAAGCTTAACACTACTGAGAACAATGCAGCCTCTTAATTGGCACTTCAACTCCTTAAAACACTCACCACCAGCCCAGTGGTTAGGATCAATACCATCTACAAGACGAACTCTAGCAACTCAAAAGACTTTAATCACCAGCACCTCGTAAACTCACACCTTTTAGCACCAAGTAGGGTAATTTCAGCAGTTGTAATTTGTCCTTGCCATCCCAAGTATATACTGGGTTGGTTCAGCTTTATCACAAACTGCTGCAGGAAATCCCAAATTCCATATGCATTCTCTTGTAGGTATAACGTAATAACCTAGATTTTCAAACACCATCCTGACTTGAAAAGACAATGTTTCTAACAGTGGTGGGTAAAAGTCTTCAAATTTACTACCTAACTGCACAATGGGCACACTTACATTACATGGACTGCAAAAGGCAACTTAACCCAACTTCAAGGTCACTTAGGGATGGGCAATAAAGGTTAGCTATGCAAGTGATACTCATTCCCATCAAGAAATTAAAGAAAAAAAGCTGATGGAAATACTTGTGACAATTTACTTGTTCCATGTATAGATTTTTTTTATTAAATGAATCTTAAATCAAATTTGTGTAAATTATGCAGTAGATTGGAATTCACAAGCAGTGCAAGATGGTCATTTCTAAGTGAAAGTCTAAGCATTTGTAGACATCTCAGTGCAAATGTTGGGGGATGAGCCCACCTCTACTTAGCTGGCTCCCCCTGCTTAAATTTTGTTTCTAACAGCCCCTGAATTTCCACGAGGCACGATGCGCATGCATTTCCAGAAGGATATTCTGTTTTATAAAGCTGATCAAATCGGAGACCTGCAGCTGTGTACAAAGGGAGGAGACCGAGGAAGTGACATTCAGCGATGAACCTGGACAGTGAAATATATCCAGGATCTCACTGGGATCAGGCTTATGTCTCCACGCATTGCAACGGAGGCCAAGTGCACTTAGGGAGACAAAAACCCCCTACCCCTCAAGTGGCCAGCAGCCTGCAAGACTGCACTTTCGATGTTGGCCTCTTCTGTCACCCACTAAAGGTAGAGTACAAAATCCATTATAAAACCCCACTTAAGGCCTTCAAGTAGCTCATGTGTGGGAGACCCACCTAACATCAACCACTTGTAAAAAAGTGTTGGAAGCAGTGGCAAGTCACATTAGTTTTACAGATCCAACCACCCCATGCAGCATTTAGTCCTACATGTGATCAGGAAAAAACAAAGTACTAGCAAACAAGTCCCTTAGTATCCATCTCACAATCAAAATAAAAACATTTTAAACATTCGATCAATGCAGTTTTACAACTGAAACAGTACCAAAATGATTGGTGCATGGAGTTCATTTCACAACCCAGAAGGATTTGTGAACAAGCAATAAAGAGACAGTTACACAGACTCTATAATAAAAGCACACAATCTAATTAATTGCATTCTTGACGTCTGTGTAATGAGCTTCCAGGAAGGGAAATGGAGAAGCAATCAGCAGAATCAATTCAGGCAAGATAAAATGTTGGGAGTACAAAAATTCACAAGATGGATTCCTGGAATGCAGAGATTGTCCTGCAAGGAGAGTGAGAAAATTCTATTCCTCAGAGTTTAGAAGTAGTAGTGATCTCATTGGAACGTATAAAGTTCTTGAGACTTGATTGGGCACATGCCGAGAAAATGTTCTCCCTAGTTTGGGAGCTGACAATTAGGGGCTCACAGTCTCAAGAGTTGGGAATCAGCTATTTAGCACTGTGACGAGATAGCATTTCTTCACTTAAGGTGTGGATATTTGGAATTTTCTTCCATAACAAGCTGTAGATACTCAGAGCATTCAGCATCTGAGGGCAGGGATTGGAAAGTTTTTTTTTGATCATGAGGGATTGAAAGTATCTAGGCATAGAAGGGATTTAGAAAGCGGAGGATGATGATGATCAATCTTACTTAATGGCAGAGAAGGCTGAAGGGAATGGCTGACCTGCTCCCATGTCGTGGTCCCCAAGGGTCTGTAATGATTTTCCAAGTGGTCAGGGAAATAATTTGAAATGCAAACCAAGTAACGATGGATAGCTGTATAGCGCAGATTGGGTTGGCCGTCTCAACTAGTAGCAGACTATGTAAGGGTAGACAGATCATACAGTAAGAAGCAGGCTCACTATGTGTAAGTACCAGCTGCTTAACAGCATTAAAAACTTTTCATGCAGCACTTTCCTACTATGAAAATTATATAGCTTTATAATTTGGATTGACGCCTCATAAATCGCTAATCAACTTGGAGAGGGGTACTTTGAACAAAGCAGTTCAAGAAACACCAAGTCGACTGTAGCTGTTCAAAACACCCCCTCACAATAAGCAAGTTTAACAGCTCCTTGCAAGAGCCCTGTACAAAGTTCCACTTTGGGGAATGAAACACAGGAGTCATTGACGTCACTGGACAGTTTAAACTGAGTCAAAACTACAACACCAAGGGTTGAACATTCCAGCTATACTGAAAGTGGGATGAAATATGCAGAATAGTCGTGATTATTCTTGTCCCAAAGGAAATCTCTGCCATAGGAAATTTCAATAATTCCTGCATTTCTGGAGAAATAAAAACTTTAATGTTAACACTCCAGTGTCTCACGAATACTGCTCACCTGCTAAACTGCCAACAGTATACAATAGCTGTTTTGTATTCATTATTGTGTGCATTTGGTGTTAAACTTGATATCAAGCAATAGCATTTAACCAATCTGTTCAAGACAATGAATGCCTAAGGGAGATTGTCATTGATCCAAAAATACATGGTCCAGATAGCTGATTCAAAAAAATTGTATGATTTAACAATTCTTTGTTGCACAGGCAAGAACCAAAAGGAAGTAGTTTTAATTACAGGAGGTGGTACAGCATCAATCTTTCTTAAAGGCAGATTTTCATAACTATGCACTCTGATCATTGCCAAAGTATTCTGAAGTCACAATTGTTATGCAGGAAACATGGCAGTCAATTTGCACACAGTAAGCTTCAACCAACTGCAACATAATGGTCATCGGGTAATTTGTTTTAATCATATTGTTTGAAGGATAAACATCTGCAAGGATGCTGGGTGCAACTCCCTTGATCATCTTCAAACTAGTGCTGTGGGATGTTTTCCATCCTCCTGAGAGAAGTAAACAGGGTCTTGGTTTAACATTGCATTCAATAGAGGGCATCTCAGTGCACACAGAAATCTTGACCTACAGTTTTTGTGCCCACATTAAAATCACATTTCTGATACTGTGCAAAAGATCTTTTTTTCTCAAAGAAAAATCAGATGCTCAGATGGATTAAGGACAAGCTTTGAAACAGAGCGTGGTATAAATGCAAAATTGAATGGAGGGGAAAAAAGTCTAGTGGAATTTGGCATTTAACTATTTGAGAATTATTACTGCTGTTCAAATAATGGTGGTGCAGTGGGTTTGCCCTAATATCAAATCTGTTTTTGGTACAAAGCAGGTAAAGAGTAGAAAAGAAAAATCACTTTTCAGATGTACTTGATTAGTTGAAGAGGTAAGTGGATATCCAAGTATCCATATTAAAATTAATCTACATAAGTATAGACCAACACTTAAAAGGCAAAAATACGTGCACACGTAACATGAAAGACTCCTATTCGAGTAGGCCAATGGACATTAGGTGGTGTGATAATTGTTTATGTGCACAATACCATTATTTCAGTAAAGTGATGATAATAACCAAGAAAGAAAATCTTTATAGAATTATACTAGAGGATACTTGAAATTAAAAAAAAAACAAGTGTCATACATACACAAAATGCATCTCAGCAAATTAGGACACTAAAAGGTGTGTTGGTCCCCAACAGATACTCCAGGTGTTAACCAAGGATATAATAACATGAACATGATTGAGTTTTTTGAATGAGTGACAAAGATCGATGAAGGCAAAGCAGTGGATGTTGTCTATATGGACTTCAGCAAGGCATTTGACAAGGTTCTACACAGTAGACTGGTTAACAAGGTTAGATCACATGGAATAGTAGGAGAACCAGCCATGTGGATACAAAATTGGCTCAAAGGCAGGAGACAGTAGTGGTGGAGGGTTGCTTTTCAAACTGGAAGCCTGTGTCCAGCAGTGTGCTGCATCCACTGCTTTTTGTCAGTTATATCAATATTGGGATGGTTAATACTGGTATCACCAGTATTGATAGTGTAGGGGCATCAAAGAGGGTTACCTTAGAGTACAACAGGATCTCTATTAGATGGGATAATTGACCATGGAACAGCAGATGGAGTTTCAATTAGATAAACGTGAGGTGCTGCAGGTAGGGCAGAACTTATATACTTAATGGTAAGGTCCAGGAGAGTGTTGCTGAACAGAGACACCTCGGAGTGCAGGTTCATAGTTTCTTGAAAGTGGAGTCGCAGGTAGCCTTGGTATTGAAGGCAGCGTTTGGCATGCTTACCTTTATTGGTCAGTTAAAAGGAGTATAGGAGTTGGGATGCCATGTTGAGGCTGCACAGGACATTGGTTAGGCCACTTCTGAAATACTGCAGGCAATTCTGGTCTCCCTGCTATAGCAGAGATGTTGTGAAACTTGAAAAAGGTTCAGAAAAGATTTAAGGGTGTTGCCACAGCTGGAGGGCTTAAGCTATAGGGAGAGGCTGAATTGGCTGGGGCTATTTTCCCTGGAGGGTCAGACACTGAGGGGCAACTTTGTAGGAGTTTGTAAAATCACGAGGGGCATGCATAGGGTGAACAGTCAAGGTCTTTTCCCAAAAGGGTAGAGGAGTCCAAAACTAGAGGGCATAGGCTCAAGGGGAGAGGGGAAAGATTTAAAAAGGGACTTAAAAGGGCAACTTTTTCATGCAGAGAGTGGTGCATGTATGGAATGAACTGCCAGAGGAAGTGGAGGAGGCTGGTACAATTACAACATTTAAAAAGGCATCTAAACGGGTATATGAATAGGAAGGGTTGAGGGGGAAAATGGGCCAAATTCTGGCAGATGGGACAAGATTAATTTAGGATGTCTGTTTGGCATGGACAAGTTACACCGAAGGGTCTGTTTCCCTGTTGTACATCTCTATGACTCTTAGTTGAAGCTAATCAGGAAAGCCTATCTGCTCTGTCTGCAGATGGAAGACTTGACTAAAGCCAGAATATTACTGAATTTGCTAGCTTGCTCACATTTGGACAAATAAGTTAAAAACAGGATTGAGGAAAACAAATGGAAATGTAACGCTAACCCCTCAAATAAGTGGGCAATGAATTGCGATTCCGAACAAGTTCAATGAGACAATTACATATTTGTATTATCACTGGACTAGTAATCCAAAAATATAGGCTATTGAGTTCTGAGGAAGTGTCACCGGACCCGAAACGTTAACTGTTTTTTCCTTCACAAATGCTGCCAGACCTGCTGTGCTTTTCCAGCAACTTGGTTTTTGTTCCAAAAATCAAAAAAAAAAATATATAGGCTATTGCTCTTGTGACATTGGCATGAATCCCATGATGGCATATGGTGAAATCTGAAATCAGTTAACAAATCTGGAATTTTAAGATGGCAACCATGTAACCATTGTTGATCAGTCATGGTTGGCCAATTTTAGTCAAACACCCTGGTTTTCCACCCGAAAACCATGCCAAAAAGATGTTGAATACTTCCTGTCTCAGACTTGAGGGGAGGGAGACAGACAGACAGACAGACAGACAGACAGACAGACAGA